GAATGTAGATTAATTTAAAATGTCATTCTTAAGAACGTCCGTGTAGTATTTACGGCATACCACCACCACATTGTTGGCTGTTTTGTCGGTCTGTACAAACACAAACCGCTTTGAAAGTTCTTGAAGGTTATTTCTTATTCTGGAAATAGGCGTATTATGTACTCTATTATTTACTTCTAAATTATTTTCCAAATGTTCTATTATCTACCACATTCATACATTTATTTAAATAAGAATCAAGAGATTTTTTATCAGATTTTCCCGTTTACACCAATTTTTACAAAACGAGGAAAGAGTATCTTTGGTGACCTGACGACACTGTTTCCAATCTATTTTAGATCGAGGACGATATTTTGGTCCTTTTTTCAAAAAGTTTTTAACCTCTCTGTCCTGGACGATATTGAGGTCCCCCGTAATAACATGGCCATAGGGAACATATCTAAACTTCGACGATTCACAGTTTCAAGTTAAAGGAGTATTATTTTCTACATTGACGTCTGATGTTACCGGCGTATAATTAAAAATTAAACTTCAGCTGGTTTTTTTGTATGTGTATGAAATAATAGGTGGTTCTGTGTTATCAAAATAGGGAGGTATGAAGTTTTGAACGGTAGAGTCATTAAATATACTAGATAAGTTGATAAAATCAATACCTCTGCTAATATATTTAATTTTTAGAAAATGACGTTTATGATCTTTAGGTTTTACGCGGGAACAGCCTATGGTGGCAAAAGCTGTAATTATACGCGAATATTCATACAGCGGGCTGAAGAAAGAGATATTGTCACACTCCTTGAAAATATCATGTAATTTACTAATTGGTATTTGACCCAGTTTACATCATAATTGATGCCTACCATTGTTTTTAAATATAGATAGGAGATCACCAAGTGTATAATTTATACGATGTTTAATTCGTTGATTTCGATTGATATGTTTGCCATGAGACCTATTATTTCGTTGCCTTTTATTCATAATATTCATGATATCAATAGAAGAAGTTGTAGATATGTTCCCTTGTCCAAGTATATTGTCATTTAGACCCAAGGGATGTGCTGTCTACAGTCGTTTAATCCAAGACAGTTCGATAATTTTACGGGAATCTTCAAATTGTTTATGCGATTGCCCTTGTTGTTTTTGGATCGTTTCGAGCGGTTGAAATCTAATAAATTTAATAGTGTGGTTGTGTTTACCTAAATGTTGATAAATTATACTTTTGAATTTCTTAGGTTTTCGGAAGCGGTATAGATGTTCCTGTGTTCGTTTAAAAAAACTCCCGTGCTGTTTGTCCTACATATTGTATACCACACTTTGGCTTTGTTCATGTAACCAGATAAATGAGGCTTTGGGTTTTTCATGTAATGTCACAGGAAAAGGAAAGCGAAAAAGCTCTCCCGTTCACTGTTGACCTTACAGTATTATCAGAAGATAATCTAGATCAGGTTTGTCATTTTCTGGCATTGCACGGAAATATTTGTGGATATCCACGTGCATTTTTTATTGAATAATCTGGCTGCAGCAGCATTTCCACCTTTGACACAATTATAAAAAGTGCTAAATTTAGATGGGGAATTTCGATTGACGACGGTTGAATTAATATTTGGAATGAGGTTTTTAGAGCACGTGAATATCCTTGAAGGATTATTGTATAATGTTTTCTTTCCATTTCGTAATATCATGATTAATTAAAGTGTAATAAGAAGAATAAATGAGGCCGAAAGTCATAACATTGAATAAGAGTTACAATAACAGAATATATAAACAATTTATAAAACAGTCGAAGAATTCTTATAAAAACTATATTGAACAGCCCGACAAAATGACGTCAGTAAAACAAGACAGACATATAACAAACATTGGTCCGAGAAAACAGTTATGACGTAGTGAATTTATCTAAAACAGAAAACAACAAAAATATTTGAACAAAAATTAGCACCTGCTCTATCCAAAAAATATTTTTACAGTGTAGTGTATTAATTTTGGGACACATTATATATCAAAATTATAGAAAAGTAAAAAAAAACTGTCACTCAATATAAGGACAATTTTAGGTTATATAGTCTGACAGATTCAGATCTAGACATACTAACTTTTGACCTTTTCAAACTGGATCAGATCACTAATTTACCTACACGTAAAAATTATTATAAACTGTTTATACATGTAATTTAAACTCCATATTACTATATTATGCATAAAATATAAGGAAATAAAATTGAAATGTGTATGAACAAAATGTAAAACACTGTCCGCATTAGGGGCTATATTCGTCTCACAAGCAAAAAACCCCTAACTGTAAAAATATAAGGGCATACGCTACAGGCACGGGGACACATTCTACTGCATTCACACAGCACGAGTAACAAACCTCTTTCAACTGATTTTTATAGTTCGTTCTTATGTTGTTCTGTTACACCACTGTCCCAGGTTAGGGGGAGGGTTGGGATCCCGCTAACATGTTTAACCCCGCCACATTCTGTATGTATGTGCCTGTCCCAAGTCAGGAGCCTGTAATTCAGTGGTTGTCGTTTGTTCATGAGTTACATATTTGTTTTTCGTTCATTTTTTGTACATAAATTAGGCCGTTAGTTTTCTCGTTTGAATTGTTTTACATGGTCATTTCGGGGCCTTTTATAGCTGACTGTGCGATTTGGGCTTTGCTCGTTGTTGAAGGCCGTAAGGTGACCTATAGTTGTTAATTTCTGTGTCATTTGTACTCTTGTGGAGAGTTGTCTCATTGGCAATTATACCACATCTTCTTTTTTATATATACAAGGAGAGGTCGATAATACATCAATAAGATTGCAACCTTACAACGCCAAAAAATCTAAAGACATTTTATGTCAACATGCAGACAACAGAGAATGTGTCTTTACAATATATCAGAGACTATCAAATACCTGACATTAACACCAAATTTCAGCAAGTGACATAACAACTATAAAGATAAAAACAAACACAACTATTGACGAGTATTTGTATTTTACCGATTTTGTCTTATTCCCAATTGTGACATTTTGACTGAGTGAAAATTCACATGGCGTGTGATGAATGTATAGCAGGAAAAGCTTACCTTGTCGATCCACCCGGTCTCGCTCCTAATGGAGTTCACGCGATTCTCTCAGGTTTTGTTTTTTTATCTTGATTTGTCTCTTCTAAATCGAGTTGCGAGATTTGAACATCTGTAAACTTCTGTCGCCTTATGAAATGATATTGTCCATTTTGTCCTCAAATACGCTTCATATTTAGCGGAAAAGATTTATCACGAAAACAGATGTTTGTTATTCCTTTGGGGATTAACCAACGTTGACGTACATTAATAAGTCTGTTAATATTGGCTTAACGGTTTAATATTATATTCTGTCTTTGAGCATCAGGTCATACATTTGTAATCGAATCTGAACCGATTTCTCGTCGCACTTTCTACATGGTGACAGTTAGAACAATTGTTTATTTTGTACATCCTTTTTCAATTATCAAATTAACCGAACTTTCTGAGTTGCTCTTTGGCCTCAGTGTACTTAACATTTCATTATTTATGAGTAACCCTTTTTTCCAGTTTTTGAAAGTATATATGATTCCCTGAAATACGGAAATTTTCTCCAGTGCAAAGAAAATCTTCTCTAACGCCATTTTCGTACGTCACCATTTCGCAGAAAACATAAAAAGAAATCCTGGAAGTTCTATATGTCTATAGGATATATGCTCAAAGATATACTCGTTTTTCTTTTCTTCTCTATGTTCCTTCTTTTTCCTTTTACAGTTGACGAATGTTCAGAATTATAATACTATGTTTTATAAAAATAGAGAAGCAAATAAAAAAATCATGCATCATTCATTGTTTCACAAAGTTGCGTCTTTCATAGCTAACCTAAGATAGATTGAACACAACTTTTTGAAACTTGGATTTTTAATGCCATTCAGCTTCTTAGTTGATTTAGCCTTTCAACCTGTTTGATTCGAGAGCCACTGATGAGTCTTCTGTAGACGACACGCTCGTCTGGCTTATTGAATTAAACATCCGGTAACTTTGATGAGTTTTAACCCACCATTTTTTCTTAAAATGTCCTGTACCAAGTCAGGAATATGGCAGTTGTTATCAAATAATCCGTTTCTATGTATGGTGGCGTTTGTTTTGTAGCAGTTCAGTGTTTCTGTCGTTCCGTTGTTTCCCTCGGTTTTGGTTTGTGACCCTGATTTGTTTTCGCTTTTTCGACTTTTGACTATTGAACAGCGGTATACTATTGTTGCCTTTATTTAAAAACCACTGGGGCGCTGCCAATGCTTGTGGACGATTCATCCCAGATTGTACCACAAGTTCAGTAGTTAATACTTCTTATCACCAATACGGTAATGTCATTTTCTGGAAACTTCCTTCCATAAATCTTTTAAATCATTCGAAACACCAAGGTTTTTCCGCCCATGGTATAAATAACCAGAGCAAGATTTGGCACCACGTGCACATTTTAGAATTGTTGGTTTTCAATACTCTTTTCAACTTCGTAGTTGATTTGGCCTTCCAACCAACTGGTTGAATTCTGCGCCACTGATGAATTTGTATAGGCAAAACTCACGCCTATCGTAGCAAGTCTTGTATCGTTGCAACATTTTTATACGTAATCTTGAATATATTCCTGTACCGTTTTGATGTTTAGTGTACCAAACGTAACCACACAGTTACCAACTTTTACGCCTTATATCTTTCTTTTCATATATTGTTTAGTATTTGATTTTTCATGTGAATTTGTTTATTAACCCACGTTAGCGTTTTCCGTCTTTCTTTATTACAAAGTGTATCACTATACTTATTCACCAGAGTTTAACCACTTATGAATCGCCAGGGAACAGATCATTTTTTGATAGTATCATAATTTGCAAATAATTTTACGATTATAAAGTACACATGCTCTCTATGTATTTTTCATCAATAATACATATAAGCTGACAATTGTTCTTCACTTTATGTACTCACACAACTAAAGAGATGAGATCAAGCGATTTATTGATAAAAGATATTCGTACATACATGTACAATGAACCATGATCTAAATAAATAAAGTGTATTGCTAAGCAGCAAATTTCGTAATAAATAATGTAAATTGATAAGACATATTTCCCAGGTGCATTTGTTTCACTCCTAAGATCAAATCGTAATTGTATCAAATGTTATGTGAAACCTCAATTTATATCTGAACGTAAAACCTTGCTTTACCTTCAATGTGATTTTGGTTTTAATTTTGAATGTCCTTCTTATTCATTTTAATCAACCAGACAGATTTACAAATACTATTGAAACTGCAGTTTTAAGCATTCGTATTCATGAAATACGACGATTTCAAACCTCAAAGTCCAGAAATGCAGCATTAATATTCTGAATTGAAGTAATTATTGAAAAACATTTTAATTTCGCTAGTGTGAAATATATTTATTGGAATTTGATAAACTCCATTTATTGAAGTAAAAAGAGAAATACATTTTCCCACTTTACCCAAATTCAGATTTACTGGTAAGTTACAATGTAACGGTGTATGGTTGATAAACATGTATTACGAAACTGGTATCCTGATTAGGTTATGGAATGTAGGTTAGTAAGCAGTGTCAGTTCAAGAGCAATTCAGTTCCCAAAACAGCCAATTACTGACTAAGGAAGTGTTTTTAGTTTTAACACAGGTACATTATACGTGTTAGATGACAGTTGAAACTTGGCTATAATAATCCAAAAGTTGAAATTAACAAGCCGAGTTAAAATTTGGTGTGGCGTTTCATGATTTAATTTTATCTAACTTCGTAAAGTCTAAAACTAAGTACTAGAATTTCTGTCATAATGAAACAGACTCTTACTGTGTATCAGTCTAAAGCCACGGATTTCATTTGGTTTTGAAAATGTCAATCGAATTAGTTGTGAAATTGTCTTTTTGTATTTTTCGGGTATACTGAATTAAGGTGCAGTAAACTAACAAAATTGCGTGGTCGAGAGTTTTTCCTATCTAAAAATTGTATTTCCTTTTTTATATACAATTTGTTTGTGGTATGTGATAAAAAAAAATAGAAATCCACACACAGTAATGGCATATAAAGTATTTTTAAATAAAAAGCGTCTTCCTCTGTAACTTAGTTCACAATCAGACTTTTGTGCGGTTTTTCCTACATTAAAAAGGAAATCATTTAAGGAATTCTGTGTTTTGTTAGACATTTTACTATTCAATTAATTTCGTAGAATATTTTGCCGATTTCGTGATGCATAGGAAGTTCTGATAAAAAAAAGATTTTTCACATAAAGTACGTTGTCTTGCAAGAACTTTCAGCTTCGTATGATATCATTATCATAAGTTTGTGTTGTAAACTGGGAAAAACGATCGAAATGCTAATGACCCGACAATAAAAGATTCATATCTATTTGTCTTATTTCCATAAGCTGGAAAAACTGTATAAATATTTAGTGGCATTATCTGGTAAACTGAGATGTTGTTTATTGCTGCTGTACTATTATTATAGGGTATTCGACATATTTTCATGAAGACATCTAATTTGTTTATATCATTCAGTCGAATTTAAAATATTTATTGCTATGTTTAACACTGATGACTATTTTTTTACATTTATGTTGCTAATGTTGCAGGAATATATTATTTAATTCACTTCTTTGTTGTAGCATTAAAACATACGATAACCGTTGCAAAAAAGTCATGGAAAAACAGAATGAACACATCTAATCCTAATAATACATATCACAGATAACTACGTATTTTGGCATCTTTCTAAGAAAAAAATATTCAATCTCTATACATAAGTTGCCTGTGAATTAGTATCGTAGTTCGTATGCCCATTTCTATTGTTGGTGATCAATTTCAGTCGAGACAGATTCGGTTTTCCGAGTGGACAGCATTTACAAAATATTCGGACGAATGTATCTCGGAATTGTTTGCTCATACTGCAGTATAATACAAAATTAATGGCATTATTACACAGTGCTACAATATCTAGGACATCTCCGATTTGGTTATAAACGCTGTTTTGTAACTCTGGTATAAATATAATCAGTAAACTTAAAACGCCTTGAGGAAGCTCCGTAATCAAAAACAAAACAACAATTGCAAGCAGCATTCCAGTTGTTCGATTATGTTCATGGTGTCGATCGGATTCTTCTTTCTTGCCCTGGTTCATAAGCGCAAGTCGTTTTTTGTATGCTTTGTGCATAGCATAAATGAGAAGAAATGTTAAAATCGACAACATTACACATGGCACTAGCTTGATCATTATTGCCTGAATATAGAAATTAATTGTGTGTAAGGCATTTCCTTCTTTTACCATATGCACAGTCCAAACCTCCTCTGTTGCATTTCCCGTGAAACTGGCAGGAGTAGGAAGGGGTCCAATAAAATTCATCATATAATTTGGTATGCAGATTACAATAACAATTATGTACACAAGCGCAACCATTATTTTAGCTCGTTCTATTGAACACCACACCATTCCCCTGGTTGGAAACCATATATACAAAAACCGAAATGTTGCCAGAGATATTGTAAGCCATATTGCAATATTGTGACAAACTAAAGCAAAACTTGCATGGAATAATAGAAATCGGACAGAATGGATATTCCTTACTGCTAAATATGGCAGATTTGAATCTTTCAATATGTAAAATTCTATTGCAAACATTAGATAATCAGCCATCTTTAATGAATCTGTAACTGCCAGCCATGTAAGAATCAAGTTTGTCGACGTAATCATATTTTTTCTCGTAAGGACCACAATATTAGCAAGGTTCGCTACGATCCCAAAGACACAAACAAATGCGCTGACGTATCCATGCATAGCCGCATATTGAACTTTGAAAACTTCAAGAGAGGATGGTATCGATGTAGATGACGACTGAATAGGCGGTTCCGTAGATGACATTGATTCAATAAATATGTCTGTTAAGTTTGGAGGAACTCCTCCGAAATATGTATAAGTCTTTGACATATTGGTACCTTTGGAAGAAGCTATTTGACCATCGGATATACGTTATCTCTGAAATATAAAATAAACATTTATATCATTTATCTTTCATCAAAAGGTATGAATTGAATATTATTAAGTATTGGACATCGGAAATAAAACCATGACTGTCCTTAATGAAGAACTGCTGTCTAACTTACATCTCACCAATGTCCATTATCCTTTATAAAACAGACAGATATTTACTCTCTGGTTCTATTCACTGATGCAGAATAAAAATTTTAGTCAGCATTAAGTTTCTAAATGCTATACACTTTACAATAATCATCATTTAATTAGTGACTCTGAGGGCCTTCTGAAATTTATGGACCGGGTTATCATGATAACATCTCCTTAGGCAAAGCTGATCTTAGATAGGTTTGACTATTATTGTTAAGTCCTTTTTGGTCATATAGCTCTTCACCTGTTTCGGGTCTAATACATCCTTGGCTTTCATTGTTATTTGGCTTTGAGCGTTCCTGATGAAAGTATATCCAGAAAAGCGCTTCGGATACATACAATTTATAGAGTTATTTTTATCCTAAATTGTTGGGAGATCACCGAACGTTCAATTAATTGTCATTTTACTTAATTGCAACTACAAACTGAACTATTTTAACAGTGTACTTACAAAACAGCATGGTTTCAAATTTATCATATTTATGTTTAATTTCATTCAAACAGGTGGTACAGTACAGTACATTTTGAAATACTCAAATGATATTGCTTCATTCTAGATGACATGATAAGTTGAATAATTGTTTATTATTTCTATTTGGGAGGGGGGTCATTTTAAGAATTTGTTTGATCTAGAAAACATTTAGAATTTTTTTTCCAAAACGTATTCTTTTACAATTCTATATGTCACAATATAACCTTTGAATCGCTGTCATGATTCAATGTACGATATATGGACCTGCTGATGTTCATAAGCTAAATATGATGAATTCAGTACTAAGTATTATATTTTTGTACATTCATAAAGATAAATAAAATCTTCTGTAGTATATTATATTTCCTCATGCTTTATCTAAATTGAAAGTTTTGAGCTTATAATGTGTGTAAATATACTAGAATGTAGGTTGCAACTTAAACTGTGGCAAAGTTGATCATAGACGTTTATGTTCGTTTGGAGTTCATGTGCTCCCCTCTAGTCTTTAAATTATGGTTGTGTATATTCAAAATAGAATTTACGGATGTCGAACATCGCTAAATTACTGTTGCCTCATATTTCTTATCTACTCACTGTACAATATAGTCATCGATCCGCTATCATGATCGAATTTATGATATATGAACAGGTTTATTTTCATTGGATAAATAGGTGTAATATAAGTCCTAAGTATTTTTTTTTAATTCATAAATATTTTTATATTGTATGTTCTTACTAATTTGTTTCGTTCAAAAAGAGTCACATTACAACCATATTTTCCAAAGGGAGACCGAAAACGAGATGTTGTACAGTTATTTTGAATGAATAGCTACTCTATTTATGGCTTGAGATTAATCATATAACAATTGTAACCTGTGTATGAGGTCGATACGAGGATATATCGACAAAAAGAAGTATATAGACCTCGGACTTCGTACTAAGTCGATATACTTCATTTAGGTCGATATACTCCATTTAGGTCGATATATCCTCGTATCGACCTTATACAAAGGCTATAATTGTATAATATAGATAAAAACTTCTGTAATATATATTATATCTAAACTGTAAGGTTCAAACTAATAATTTGTGTAAAAAAGAGACAGAAGACATCAAAGGGACAATCAAAAATCAGAAGTCGGAACAAAAAATAGCAATATCATTACAGAAAACGAAAAACAAGGAAAAGACCAACAACAGTCCACAAAAATCTACATAGAAACTAATTAAAAGACTAAGCAACAGGAACCCTTACAAAACCCGGGAGTGATCTAAGAACTGTTCCCTTAGGGTACGAAGATTCTACAACACATGTGACTGACATCGTGTCATTTACAAATTCGGTGAAAGATAGTATTCGTTGATATCACAATCGAGGAAAAGGACGGGATTGTGGGTACCACAATTCAAATATTTCCGTGGTCATTTGTTACACATGTATTCCATAACGGTCAATGAAACCATGATGATGTTCGTACGGCCTCTAAAGGAAGACTTGACAACTTTGTGTAAATGTTCAAACGTAAAGTTGCAACTTCATCTGGCAAAAAGGTGGTCTTTGACGTTTTTTTTTTTTAATTGAGTACCAGTAATTTCTTCAGGGGTTTTTATCTTCGTTTTGTTTATTCAGAATTGATTTATTAGCATATTAGATCATCGGTCAACTTTCTTTGCCTCTTTATTTTATCTATGTATGTTCATTTTGTTGTTGATGCTCCAAAAAGTCAAATGTTTGGTCTCGACGTAGACCTGCTGACAGATTTTCAAGAAACACGTATCATAGATATAAGAAGATGTGGTATGAGTGCCAATGAGACAACTCTCCATCCAAGTCAAAATTTATAAAAGTAAACCATTATAGGTCACAGTACGGTCTTCAACACGGAGCCTTGGCTCACACCGAACAGTAAGCTATAAAGGGCCCCAAAAAATTACTAGTGTAAAAGCATTCAAACGGGAAAACCAACGGTCTAATCTATATAAAAAACGAGAAACGAGAAACACTTATGAACCACATCAACAAACGACAACTACTGAACATCAGATTCCTGACTTAGGACAGGTGCAAAAAAATGCAGCGGGTTTAAACGTTTTAATGGTACCAAACCTTCACCCTTTTTCTGAAACAATAGTGTAACATCACAACATAGAAAGACACACTATAAAATATCAACTGAAATAGCTTAACTCAATCAACGGACATATTAACACCATTGAACATACACTGAACAAATAAATTTGACCTATGACACAATGTAAATACAAAATAAATAAACTAAGGGAAGAATAATAAAAGTAACATGTTATATCGGTAAGAAATGTTAAACAATTAAAGAAAAACAATATGCTCGAACAAAAATACCATCCATTTGCAATAACTTTAAACACAGGTAAATGAAAATAATTTTGTTGTTAGGTATACCTGTACAGTACCAATAGAGAAAGGAAATATTTTTACAAAATAAATAATTTTGAATACAAAATAAATAAACTAAGGGAAGAATAATAAAAGTAACATGTTATATCGGTAAGAAATGTTAAACAATTAAAGAAAAACAATATGCTCGAACAAAAATACCATCCATTTGCAATAACTTTAAACACAGGTAAATGAAAATAATTTTGTTGTTAGGTATACGTGTACAGTACCAATAGAGAAAGGAAATATTATTACAAAATAAATAATTTTGATGTTCATAGTACGAAGTGAAAATTTATAGTTATACCAAACACTTATCAAAGCTGGTATATAGACCAGATATAACCCTGAATAACATTAAATAACAAAAAAGCAATACAATTAGTATCAACAGGTCAAATAAACAAGAAAGTACGATTTGAGAGTACTCGCAGTAACTGACAGCTAGTTAAAAGCCAAAACAATTAATAATAAAAAATCATGCATCAGAGACTAAAATCAACTAAAACACATCCCAGGGATTTAGTATTTTAACGTCATGGACAGTCAAAGAAGACATGACTAGTGCAATGCCAAAAATAAATGTATCGACAGACAGTAGGATAGTTAGGAGTTTAACCTCTTTATAGATCTAAACGAACGGGGGTGTATCTTTATACATCCCACTTGAAAAAAATACAAATTTAGTTATGTTTTAATTTGCTGATGACAAAATCGATATTAGTGCCAATGTAAACTATATTCAAAGATCTAATTACAACATTGGTAAGATAACCTTTACTAATAAGCGTGTTTAAAGGTTCGATGAGTTTACACGGATCACATAGTGATTTCCGCGCTTTAAGTACAATATTACCGTAAATTTAGGATGTGAAATACCGTTTTTAATCAGTTTTCTACAAGTACAGCCAAATTTACTAATCAAATCTTTGTATCTATGAAAGAACTTAGCAAAAGTTTTACGTAATTTATGGTAACGAAATCCTTGATTTAATAATTTACCAGTGATGCATTGATTACGTTCGTTAAAATCTATGACATCACTACACACAAGGGCATAACGAACGAGTTGGGATATATATACACCGTATGATAGAGCCAAAGGAACATCGCCGTCTAAAAAAGGAAAATTAACAATAGGGAATGAAAAATCGTCTCTTTTGTCGTAAATTTTCATATGGAGTTTTCCTTTAGAGATTGAAATGTCCAAATCCAGAAAAGGACAACTACTGCTGTTTATGTTAGATTTAGTTAAAGTAAGTTCTATTGGGTAAATTTCGGTAGTATATTTAGAGAACTCTGGATTATTTAACGAAAAAATATCATCTAGATAACGGAAGGTATTGTTGAATGTATCAACCAAATGTAACAATGACGTGTCTTTACTGAGTTTGGTCATAAACTGAGTTTCATAGCAATACAGGAATAAATCTGCTATTAAAGGGGCGCATTTAGTGCCCATAGGAATACCTACTACCTGTCGATACATTCTATCGCCGAAACGTACATATATGTTGTCCAGGAGAAAATTTAAAGCTTCAATCATATCTTCACATTTCCAGTAAGTGTATCTAGCATACTTTCCTTTTTCGTTACAGAAAAAGGCTTTAAACGAGTTACAGCAAATAAATTTGTAATGAGATTTTTCAAAAGACCATTTAATTAAATATGAAAACTTTTTCTTGATAAGATTGTGTGGAAGTGTAGTATAGAGAGTAGAAAAATCATAACTGTCAACAGAATTAAAAGGACCATCAAAAGCATGTATTTTATCTAAAACCTCTAAAGAATTTTTAACACTCCAAAAATAATTAATACCATTATTTTCATAAGCTTTATTACAAAAGTTAATAACAAGTTCTTTGATAGTAGTAAGGGAGGTAGTTAGAAGCACTGATAGATTAGTAATAGAACACTTACTAGATGCGGAGATGAAACGGAATTTAAATGGTTTTTTGTGCA